AAATCAATTGGCCTTTGAATAGGTAGGTACTTTAACCACCAAGGTAAGTACGTATCTCAGACTGATGGGAGAAAATGTAATATCAAGACAACAGACAACTAGATTTCAAAGTTCATTTTTGTTTTTGGAGGATATTAACTGACATACCTATCAATATCATGAGGCTGATGACATCATAGTGCCTAGTGGAGTGAGTAGGTACCTAATGTGTCATCAGTGCAGGGATTACACTGCCATCAAATTCTTTATATTTGACTGGTTTTCCTCCTGGTGGCCATCCCAACACATATTTGGTTGTTGTTGTTGTTTTCCCCGGAGTCCACCGGTGGTACATATATTTAATCATCAACGAAAGAAGCACTTGAGATCAGCATCGGGAGATTGAGTGAAACGTGAATCAATAAATGGCGCTGCATAGGGCTAAAGGTGAGGATAGGATTTGTTTAACAGTTAGAATTGATTAGAAGAATGCAGAAGATTAGTGGTTAGAAGGTTGGGAGGCAGCACCATTTATGATACGATCACAGAAACACAGGACTACAGAGGCCACCATCCATCTCGAACTGGGTTTGTCGCAGTTCTCCACCGCAGTCAAGACTGGAAGGCCCGGGAAGGGCGGCGCACATCAACAAAGCGACGAGAGCGACATCTATAGGCTGGTGTCAGTCAACCGCAGAGCGTGAGGGAGGGTTACACGTGTGCAGTTTTGGCTCCTTGAAAAAAAGCTGGGTTAGGCAGCGTCGATTAGCACCTGAGAAGGACATGTAGGCCACAGTTGCAGCCGCTGAACGCCTGCCAAGACGACGGCGAACAGCTTTATAGTTGGTCCAGGCTTCCTGTCGCCGAGAAACAAGATCAGCGGGAGGGCGTACCTGCCACGGCGGGCTGGTTTTGCCAGGGGCCGGCGGTTTGCATGGAACACAGTCTTTTACCAAGTCATTAACAGTTGAGATAAACCTGTTGAATGACTGACAGCTGTTTAAATAAGCAAGCTCATAATCCCAATCCACCAGACTCAGAAAGTGACTTAGTTTAGCGTTACATTTGTGCCACAACATTCTGCTTGAGACCTTGTCATCTAACACATTTTGTACTTCAAAGACGTAATCAAAAACGATTGAACAGTGATCAGAGCCAGGAAACGGAGGTTCAACATGTGTGCCACCAACACGCTCGTATTGGTGTTTTGCCAGTCCCGGAGTCCGTTGGACCCCCCTTGCCGTTTGGCCCCTGATTGAGCTAGAGCTTCGCGGAAACAACGAGCGTGTTGCCCGTGACGAAAGGAAGCCGATGATACCCAATTTTAAGGTCCTAGGTCATTGGTTGACCTTCCAGGTCAGGTCAATGACCCAAAAGTCGAGAAAATTGGAACCAGTTAGAACGTCGTAAAGTGTGGCTGCTTCAGGGGTTTTCGGGATGCTGATCACGAATATCATGTTATTTTTTATTACAGATAATGTCTTCATGCATTTAGGCCAGGTCGGGTCAGGTCAGGTCAACCAGTAGGAGTTGTGACGGGTCTTCGTAGTATGTACGTGTCAGCTGCCTCTGACAGCTTCGTAACAAGTTACGAAGGCACCAAAACTACTTAGGAAATGTTCAAATGGTTGACAAATTCGAATACAGCTGCAAAACTAGCCTAGGAACATGCAAAACTCGAAAAAGTGAACCGAGGTCATCAAAGTTCAATGACCTGACTTTCAGGTGACTTTGACACCCGTCCTAATGCATGGGACCAACATCATATCACAGGTTTGAACGCTTAAAACCACGAAAAAAAAATACTGCAAACGAGCGGCTAATGCGCGCCAACAGACGCCGAATCGCAACTCCGCCCAAACATGGTCTCGGGAAATAGGTCACAGGTCAAAGGTCATTTGGGTCAGGGTCATGAACTTTTTAGGGTAGGCGTAAAATCGATCAACTCGAGAGCACTGAACGTTTCGTCGCGATCAACCGCTTTGAACGCGAGTTATTCACGAAAAACCGAGAGGGGAGTTCCGTTCGACCCGCCCTCCCCCCCCCCCCCCATACGGGCAAGGGCTAAGATCAAATTATAGCTCATTCGACGCATTATTACCAGAGAAATACTATCGTGGCAAAATAAACGTAATACCGTTGATCTTAGATTAAGTCTGACTTCTGAGTCATTACTCAGAAAAGGTTATGAAAGAGCTATCCAATGCGCCTGTTTTGTTCATCAAAGATCGGTATGCCGCCCCCATCAGATGCGAAATGCCGCCCCTGATCGTTATTGCCGACCCAGTGAAAATCCCTTATAATACGCCCTGTAACTTGTCCTCTTGATTTTTTTTTTGATTTCAACTTTTTGTCCTTTGGATTTTTCGTAATTTGAATTTATGTCCTGTTGACTTTTCGTCTTTTGACTTTTGCCCTCTTCACCTTTTGTCCTCTTGACTTTTTGCCCTTTTGACTTTTTATCCATTTGATTTTTTGTCCTTTTGAATTTTTGGGCTTTGACTATATGTCTTTTTGACTTTTTGATCTTTTGACTTTTTTATTTTGATTCTATGTTCTGTTCACTTTTGTCTTCCCACTTTTGTCCTTGTAACTTTTTGGCAATTTGACTTTTTGCCTTTTTTACTTTTTGTCTTTTGACCCTGTCCATTTGACTTTTTGTCTTTTGACTTCTGTTAGTTTACTTTTTGTTCGTTGACTTTTTGGCAATTTCACTTTTTATCTTTTGACGTTTTGTCCGTTTTGACTTTTTGTTTTTTTACTTTCCTCTTTGTTGACCTTTTACCTGTTGACTTTAAAGATTTTTGACTTCTTGCTTTTGACGTAATGTCTGTTGACTAATCATCCTTTTACCTTTTATCATTTGACTTTTGTCCGGAAGCCCCTCCATGTGGTCCCCAGTAGCTTCAGACTCGTGGATACGCGGTCCCCAGTAGCTTCAGACTCGTGGTTACGCGGTCCCCAGTAGCTTCAGACTCGTGGTTACGCGGTCCCCAGTAGCTTCAGACTCGTGGTTACGCGGTCCCCAGTAGCTTCAGACTCGTGGTTACGCGCCTGCTTATGAGGAACGCTTTCAACCGAGCTCTTCCGCGGAGATAAGTCCGCCGAGGCTGATGAGTGAACGCATTTTGGAACTTTTTAATCTGTTGACGATGGATAAATACTAAATAGCCAGAAGCTTATTCGGGATTGCCCAAATACGCGTGAATATTGAATACTGAATATTGCCCCCCCCCCCCCCTGTATGCGGTCTTGGTCATTCACGGGCCTTTTCAACTACAAATCCCCCTCAAGGAAATCCTAGATACATGCACCACCTGAGTGGGAGCCATTAGCGTCGCCACGGGGGGGCAAGCGGGGCAGCTTGCCCCCCCAACCTCGGACCGGGCACCCCCTGAGATCGATACAGATCCGATGAGATTTTGGAGTCGGGAAAAAATGGGGGTACCTTTCTGAGAATGCCTGTGAGGTCAGACTCGGTTGGAGCGTGCAGTTCAAACCAGAGTCTGACTCGCAGTCGCCAAAATCTTCAAGACTCCAAGTCCAGACTCGGAAATGTCAATGATGTGATTCATTACATGTTCCTTCCTAGTTCGTTCTTTATTACATTTTACAGCTGATTTTCATAAGTTTTGGAGTGCTGACACAATTTTCGTTCAAAGCGTGAAACGAAATCTTCGGGGCCTTTCTCAACTCTCGTCAAATGTCTGCGACAGGCTCAAGTACCGTACAAGTGTCGCAGGGCTCATGAGCTTGCTTTAAACAAAGGCTCCTAAGGAGCTCCACTGAGCCCTAAAGAAGCTTTTAGAGGGCCCAAACCGGCCTCTGAAAGCCCCTCTGGTGTCCATGTTCTCTGAGGGCCCATACAGGGATCTTTGAGCCTTCGAACATTTCTGAGAACCTTAACTGGCCTCTGATAGTTCAGCCAAATTTTTGAGGCGACAGACTTTGCCAACCCCAAGCCGGCATCTGCGGGATCACAGCTCACGTGTCCCTCTGAGGTCCGCAACACATGTTTATTATGTCCCTACGTAGGGTCCTTAGGGATTCGACATAGACCCCGAGGGTTCACACTGCTATCCGAGGGCTCCAGGCTCACCCTGGGCCTAGTCTTTAGCGCCCGCCGCCCACACTGGCTTCTGAGGACCCCACCTTGGGCTCGGAAAGCCCTAAAGCACCACGTACGCGTAAATATTTGAGGTGACCTACGTCGATCTCCGGGATCCTAAGCAGGCTTCTGAGAGTCAGCACTGACCCTGAGTGGCCTGAAATGGCCTGGAAGTCACAAACCTATCTCTAAGGGATCCCTTGCCGCTATGCCGTGCGTAACTTTTGGTTCTGTTTAACAGTTTTTGTTCACGTTTGCAGCGCTTCCCTTCACACGAAAAACGAGAAACTTTTGTTCACACTCGAGTGAACAAAACACTTCCTCTCACTGGAGCAAATATGAATTACTTCCTATTCACACTTCACACATTCACTCTCCGCCGAATGCCCAACTTAGCTACGATCGGCGGCTGGGATAAGTCCTATGCATTTCACGTAAAACCTCTGCATGCATGCGTGAATGGAGGTTTTAGCAGGGTGATCCGATCAAATGGAGCGTTTTTCACCTCTAAATCGGTAGGTAATGATCATGAGCGTCGAGCGTCTGCACAGGGGCCCTCTGCAGTGCGTCGGCAATCGCAGCCACTATAATTCTACCAGTCGTTTTGTTATGAAATTTCAAAATTTCGAATTTTTCTTTAAAAAATTACATGTCATAGCTAGAAGGAAACCTTTGTCACCATGGGATTCCTCGCACCATTGCGCGTCGAATGATATGTAAAACGAGTGATTTAAGACTGGGGAAAGGCAAGTTTTGACACAAAAGTTGATTTTGCCCCCCCAACCGAAAATCTCTGGCGACGCCTATGGTGGGAGCAATACTTCGGGAATTAATCAGACCCAAACTACTCGTCCCTGGAACGCTTGCCTGAGACCAGTTAGTGACCAGTTAGTGACCATGCTTAGACAGCTGATCGGGCAGCGGCTGATGTTTCATTGAGTGCAAATTTTCATTTCTCCATTGCTGACCTCTTGTGAATGTTTTTACTTTGAATGCCTGTTCGTTTCTATTCACATTTTACATATATCGCATAATTCTTATTTCGCGTCAGTTGCTTTATAATTTTACAATATATTATTGTACATTTTCACAAAGTTAACACCTTTCCATCATGTATGCTACACTTGCATCATACCTTATCTTTGGTCTGAATTTCTCTAGCTAGCCTCGTCTGTATGCGCCGGTTTGCCATCCCATTTGCCGTCAGCTTATTGTTTGCTGCGGCTGAGCTGCTGCAGGTAGTGTGACCTGCCGTCGTCCCAAACAGCTCAGTTAGCCGACAGTCGCCATGTTGTGCTACACAGCATACCACTTGGGTATAATAGGTATGTAGGTTAACACAAGATAAGCTCACAGTGTGCTTTTACGGGCGACCATCATAGATAACTGACTTTCTCGACTCGCCGGCCGGACAATAAATACGCACACACACGCGCACACACACACACACACAGACAGGCACATAGCCTACAACATCGCATAACAATGCCCACTGCAAACCACTCCACTGCACGTCTGCTCATCAGATACAGGCGACCTGCCCAGTCGCGGTACGCTCTGTGGTGGCAAGCTGAGCACAGCGACCGCCGGTCCGACCACCAGCGGCGGCGTCTTCGGTGGCAGCGGCACACTTCTCCATCAGCTCATCGACCGAGAACGGTCACCGCCACTGGAATCGGCAGCTGAAGCACATGGCTCATTCTTCCTCGTATTATATGCTTGATTACCTTTAGTTTAATTATTTTGTTTGTTTCAAGTGATTCAAATGTGCAAGCAAAGAAAAATGTCACTGTAACGCTTGCTGCTGCATCTGTCGGTGAAGGTGCTTCCCCAGCCTCCAGTTTTGACTGGCCGACCTGGAAGACCCATACCCTCCTTGCCACTCCAGTTTTTGTTGTCGTTTTGTCATCGGCTCCGCTTATGCTCTCTATTGCGGCCGGTGCCGCTGTTCAGTTGCGTTGGAGACCAGATCTTTGCGGCGGCCAGTTAGGCCGCACCATGAAGCGCCGGCCGCAGCGCGCTCCGGTCCGTCACAGCGAGACCAGCTCCTTGCCCGTCTCCGGGCTGAGCATGTCGGCACGCCGCTCTGGCTGAGACACCACCGGCGTGGCTAGCGATCCAGATGGTAGCGGCATCAGGGCGGGCAGTGCGGCGCCTCCGACCGGCGTCAGACCAGTGCCGCCCTGCAGCAGCGAGTCAAAGTTGAGCGCCAGGCCCTGGGAGGGCGTGGTGAGCGCCACCTCCTTGTGCATGCTTGTGGCAGTGGCGAAGCCGGCCACCGACAGCGTGGTAGGCCGCGGCACCTTGACCGCCGGGCCAGCCGGGCCAGCCGCCACCGGCCGCTCCGGCTCCGACGGCTCGGCGCGCGCCGCCTTGGCCGCCTCCTGTTTGACGATGACACGCCGCTTGGGCGCGTTCTCCTTGTCCCTGCCGAGCTTGCAGCAGGGCCGGTGCGCCTCCAGCAGGAAGTTGAGCTCCTCTTTTTGGGCGGTCAGCATCTGGATCTGGCGCTCGAGGCTAGAGCGCTCATCCTCCAGCTCCTCAGTCTCCATCTGCAGCGTATTGGTGAGGTCGAGCCGGCGCCGCCGGCACCGTGCCGCCGCCTGCTTGTTGCGCTCGCGGCGCACGCGGCGCCGCTGCTCCTCCTCGGGCGACAGTTCGTCGTCCTCCTTGGGTCGGCGGCCGCCGCGGTGGTGGCCCTGCGGCACGGCGCGCGAGGCCCGCTCGGCCGCAGGCGGCGGGCTGCCGTCGGCGCGCCGGTAGGCCGGCTGCGGCTCGGCGGCCGGCGCCGCGCCGCCGCCGCCGCCGGTGGCCACCTGGGGCGTCACAAATCCGGCCTGGTGCTGGTGGGATACCGGCGGCGCCACCAGGCCGCCGTCGAACGCCATGAACGTCTCCTCGATGTTGCGCAGCGTGGTGGGCGTCAGGGTGGGCGTGGTGCGCGTCAGGCCAGAGTTGAGGCTCTCCACCGACGAGAAGTTGGGCAGCAGCAGCTCGCTGCTGTTTGTGAGCGGCGTCAGCACACGCTCCGTTTCCACTGCTCCTTCGCCACTCCCTGCACGCGTTCTGGGCACCCGCATCGCGACGCCGGCTGCTCCTGTACACTCCAGAAACACTGCTTGCGCAACTGCGCTCGGCTGACACTTCGGCCCGCGTCCTCCACCGCCCGCGCCGCACCCGTGACTCACTCCAATATGGCCGACGACCCACCCATATAGCGACTGGCGCCAGCGCCGCGCCGGCGCCCGGCGGCCCGCTATCTTTAGCCATGACGTCAGCCGGCGTGTGTGTGTGTGTGTGTCTGTATGACGTCACAGCACAGGTTCGGCCGCCGGTGATCGAAGGCCGCTGACGTCACAACCAGAGCACCGCTGTGATTGGTGGCTGTCTGCATGACGTCAGCCTTGGATCGATGCGCTGACGGTGCGGCGGGCGCGGCGCGGCGGCTGCCCGCGGTGGTCGGCGTGGGGCGACACTCGCTGGTCGAGCCAAGGCCCTGTATGGGTCGAGCGCAGTGGCAGCGACGCTACACTCTGCTTTAACTTGGCCGAAAAAAAAACTGACCACAGGCCTGTTTTGCCAACAGAAAAGTAACCACCAAGGACTAAGGAGCTAGTTTATTTTTAAGTCACCAACAACTTACACCAACCGCGAGGAAAGGCCGCTAACCAGCGCCGCACTGGGGTGGGGCGTTTTTACGCCCCCTGGCCCTCAGGTTTTTCGCGAATATCTCAAAAAGGGCCAGCGCCGCTGTTTTTGGTACGACTTGTTTCACATAATTTCTACACATGTTGTAAACATTTCAGACCCGAGTCGTTCAAGTTCAGATCACCAAGTCACATCAAGAGACCCTACTTCAGTAAAAAGTTTAAATGTTCGCGATAGCTACACCGAGTGAAGGATCGCTTTGAAACATTCAGCGATTAACCCGCGCCCCACTGGGGTCTGTGTATAACACGCCGCACTAGGGGGCGGGGGGGGCTATTCATAGCCCCCTCCTAACTCCGAAACTACTGGGCCGATCGTCAAAATTCAAACGGCATCTGATAGCCCCGGAAAAACTGTCGAGCGAAACCTAATTTCATTACCGATGACGTCACAGGTCAGGTCAAAGTAAAAATTATCAATATTTGGCTTGTTCACTTTTTGGGCTCTGGCTGCCGTCTTACAAATCAGATCAGGCTGATTTTTGGTTTACACACTCGTGAACAGATGCTTAAGATAGGTACCCTGATGGTACCAAACTTGTACTTTGATTTTCAGGTCAGGGTCAGGTCATCATAGGTCACAGAAATCTTATGTCATAAGTCGGTCACGTGACACATGTTTTATGGTCCATTTAGGCCATAGACTTCGAATTCGGTGTCGCCTGTGTCATTTAAGGCCATTTTCATCTGAATATAGCTGAGGTCAGGTCACTTTCGGTCAAAAAAGGTCAAATTTTAAAGTTGACATTTTTCAAAAAAAAAAAGTCTATCGGATGCAGTTTGAGCTCAGGAACACGATGGTGCTATTTATATTGGTGTACGATGTCAAAAACGTATTGAAAAATTGATTTGAAAAATTCATAATTGTGATTTTTTTTTGCAATAATGCGTACCTATAACTTAGCATTTTTTCAAGATATTTAGCTAAAACTTGCTAAAGTAAATCATAACCATGTGTTCTATCACATATATTCCGTTTTTTTTCGAGAAGTAAAAAAAAAATGGAAAAAAATATAAAAACATAAATTTTTAATTTTATTATATATAATCAAGGGCGGATCCAGGGGGGGGACATAGGGGCCATGGCCCCGCTTTGACTCTGAAAGGGGGGCCAACATATCTTTTGGCCCCCCTTTCATCCGTGCTGTTTCTCACAGCCGACTAATTTTTCAGAATTATTTTCACCATTTCCATCGACGCTAAGGCCGTTAACTTTTTTTTTGTTATTAATATGAACAGGGATTTACGTACGAACATTTTTTGGCGTGCTGGCAACCAGCTTATGCAGCACACTGCACAGACAGCTTGATTTTCGACTATGCCCGTTTGGCTGTAACTGCAAGGCGCCGAGGTTGGCCGCCGAATTCCATTTGTCTATGTCCTGCCGGAAGGTAGCCCAAAGATCCTCGCTCAGGATCAGGGTCCGGATGGTAGCCGGTTAATTTCTTCAGAACTCCGGCCGGCTCGACTGACACAACCACCTGGACCTGGCAGAGCAATGAGCTGGCGCGCCGTCCTCCATGAAATTGCATGTTGACCTTCCATCGACCGTCGAGGCCATGCGTCGACTCAGAACTGAGCCGCTGGAGGCTATTGGACCGTGCAATATTTCCCAAAATCGTTTTCCAAAATCTTTATCCCTTAGGGGTAGAAACGATTAGAAACCGGATAAGTGTTGCCCTAGGTAGAGGACAAAACTTTTGCCGGACCCTGCATAAAACCACCTTGCAGATTCCCTTCGATCGGCTTCGATCCAGCGGAAATGGTCACGCATTAACCTCTCTCCTTACCCCGCGCCAGGCTGGTCCTCAGTGCCAACCGCTCCGGGCCGGTGGGTGTCTGAACACCCCCTCTCCTTCTAACTCGGCTCCTGGGCCACGTAGCGACACGCGGCAAGCGGCATTCGAAAGACCTTCGAAAATCAAGACGAAAGCAGTCATTTTTAAGTCTGGGCAAAGGTCTGGTGACTAGAGAACATCAAAAGAAAAATATTGCCTATGTATGTCAACACATTTCGAAACTCCGGCGCATAACTCAAGAACCAATAGAGCTGCTGCAGCGCCGCAGAGAAACGCATTCGATAGCCCTTTCAACGCTTTTTCTAAAGACAGTGCTCAGATTTGCCCTCAGGTCAACGGTTTAGCCGCCAGAGGCAAAAATTGAAAATAGCTGCTTTTACGAACAATGTTTTTTTTTTAAATCACTTTTGACTCAAGAAACGTCGAGATCTCTCGTCGAGATGGCTCGAATGAACTATAATTTGGACTTAAAAGGTATTTGGAAAATTTCACCTTGGGTCAAGGTAATGACTTGATCGAAAAAGGTCATTTTGCATATCAGTAGATCCGTATTGTCGACCTGAACACATCGAATGTGTTTTCATTCCTCTAGCATGTCTCCATAAAAAGTAGGGGAGAGAGGTCATATTGCGCCATGTTCTTAAATGCGCCACACCTTCCTCCTGCCCAAAATTCGATTCGAACGAATAGGTACTCGAATGTGTGCATTTACTTCACCACCAATAACTCGCTCTTATTCTGGTCCACGGGGGCAGGTGAGGTGTCTCAGCTTTCTCGCAGACCATTTTTTTTTTTGTGATTTCCTCTTGCAGTTTCGCCCCTGATCGAGCTAGAGCTTCGCAGAAAAAAAAACGAGCGTGTTGCCTGTGACGAGAGGAAGCCGATGATGCGCAATTTTAAGGTCCTAGGTCATTGCTTGACCTGCCAGGTCAGGTCAATGACTCAAAAGTCGGGAAAATCGGGACCTGTTAGAACGTCGTGAAATGCGGCTGCTATGGGGTTTTTCGGGATGCTGATCACGAATAGCATGTTTGTTAGTTTTGATCACAGTTGATGTCTTCATGTATTTACGCGAGGTCGGGTCAGGTCAGGTCAGGTCAACCAGTAGGGGTCGTGGCGGGTATTCGTAGAAGGTGTCAACAGCCTCTGACAGCTTCGTAGCATGTTACGAAGGCACCATAACTATACTTTGTAAATGTTCAAATAGCTGCTTTATTCGAATTCAGCTCCAAAAACCAGCCTACAAGCATGTAAAACTCGAAAAAGTGAACCGAGGTCATCAAAGGTCAATGACCTAACCTGACCTTCAGGTGACCTTGACATCCACCCTAATGCATGGGAGCAACATCAGATCACATGTTTGAACGTTTGGAACCACGAAAAGACTGCAAACGCGCGGCTAATGCGCGCCGACATACGCCGAATCGCGATTCCGGCCGAACATGGTCTCGGAAAGTAGGTCACAGGTCAAAGGTCATTTGGGTCAGCGTCCTGAAATTTTCAGGGCAGGTGTAAAATTGATCGATGCGAGGGTACTAAAAGTTTCGTTGCGATCGGCTGCTTTTTACGTGAGTTATTCGCGAAAAAACGAGGGGGTCCGTTGGACCCCTCCTATACGGGCGAGGGTTACCTAAGTCAAGAACTGTCAGCGCAATGAAGAACGACACTCGGCCCGTCTACAGATAAGTACCTACCTCGAGGAGATCTTCAGTGGTGGCAGCGGTAAAAAACTCAAAACTGTCATGCCATTTAGCTTTTGGTCCGTATCCGTACAATGTTGAACTTAAGAAAAACTATTCATTGCGTTGCCATGTTAATGCCACTTAAATCTCTTCAATAACAGGTTTTAGAGGCCGATTAGTGGGCAGATACTCGTACATTCAATTAGCTATAATTGATTGATTATACACACATGCAAGAATCTGCATCATTCAATTCAAGCCAAAATCACGCGGGGCTCCCAGGATTCGAACTCACGACCATAGGCGGCGGAACGGGGAGGGCACTGGGGCACCGTGCCCCCCCTTCGATTTTGGCATTTTAACATTGGCCTTATGGGCGTTGCATGGAAAGAATGGGACCAAAAGTCGGCAGTGCCCCCCCCCCCCTTAATTGAAGGTGTTCCGCCGCTACTGCTCACGACCCTCGGATCCGTAGTCCGATACACTACCGACTGCGCTGCCGAGGACCGCGCGCTGACGATCGGGGAGGCGCGTCGCGGGTGCTGGCGTGCAGAGAAATCTTTACCCTGTACGCCGTAGAAGATCGGCTGGGCCTGGGTTTCGTGAGAAATGGTAGAGGAATTGTCGAAAGAACATTCATCGATCTATCATTTAACCCGCGAGTTGCTGGGGGGGGGGCGTTAAACGCCCCCACTTTTTTCGCCGGGCGATAGCATAAAAACGGCGCGCCGCAGGCGCGCCAAATTTTGGGTACCTGTAGGGAATTGATTGAAGTTAATTGTGACAAAGTTTCAAAAAAATCGGTCGGAAAATTTTTGAGATATTGAGGTTTTAGTGACGTCATGATTTCTGACTTTTCGACCAAAAACGGCATATGTTCAAAAAATCATATAAAATCACAAAATAGACATACAGACATGCCGTAAACGCCATTAGACTGCCAATACCATGAACAATCAAATGGCTATCTTCGATTATTGATTATCGTTCCCCATTTTCCAAAATCTTGAACTGAATC